TGCTTCCGTGCTCGTTGTCTCGCTATTATTTCTAATTATAAGATAGCGGGGAAGCCAACGACACCAACTTAGGAACTCGGACGATTCCCCGCGGCTCCCAGCTGTTTGTCACCTCAGGAAAGCGTCTTACTCGAGGACCTTCACTCTTCCGAAGTCATTTCTCGGGATAACAATTAGGGAAGTGTAAAGAGCGTGCAGCACAGTCGTTCCCGTGTAATAACTGCTTGTGGCCCGTGGTTCAGGAAGAGCTAAACATCCAGGTTGGCTGATAAGGAGCCTAATAGAAGAGGGTTCAAAGGCAATGAAATGCGACACGAGAGATGGTGCGGATAAGCGGGACAGGAGGAAATGCTGTTATTAGCCATCATGGTGTTCCGAGATGTTGACCTCTCATCGTCAGCATTTAGGCCGGGGGGAAGCGCCCTCCTCACGATCTGTTATTGTCCAGCGGCGGAGTGTGCCATACTCTCCTCAGGGGCAGAGACTTAAGCATCCCATTCCGAGACACGAAGATCCTACACACACAGTTCGAAAGACAAAAGAATCCGCGACCCCTTGAATGCTCTTCTCCAGATGCCTCGATCCCGTTTTATGTGGCGTCCTATAGGGATTAGGAAAGGAAGGGGATCTTTCTTGTTTTTCTCCTCTTTTCCATCTTCTTTTTCTCTCCCCCTTTCCTTTCTTCGTGATAGAGATGTAACCGCCCGAAGGAAGATTCACTCGCGGGGCTCAGCATGATGGGAGATCCTCGAGAGTTGATATTAACAAAGGCGAGATGGCGATATGGATAGTCTTCGGGGAGATAAGAGCCAGGGGGAGGAGCCATCACATAAAGGCAGAGGGACCTTCGCCCATCCACAAAGGCCCCTTGGGAAACTCGGCCTCCTAACCGCAAGCTTTCCAACGCGTACAATCATCCCGATAACAACATAAAACTGATCATAGCACCTTTTTTTTAACACCGTTGAATAGTTCGTAGAATAATTACCGATCGTTTTTCCGTCAGAACAAAGCCCGCTCGTACTAAACCTTCTTCATAACCGAGCGAGTCGGGTGATCCAGCTGTCTGCTCGCTGTATTTCTTCAAGCGAGACCCCGTCATTAAATCAGAGCGTGCGGATCCCTACACAAAGGCGCCACAGTCCAACCTCGAAACGTGGCTTACCTGCATTACTTCTTCCTCACTTCTCCGACATGAAAGCCTTCGTTCGCTCAGAGACAAAAAAGAAAAAGCAAAAAGAAGAAGAAGAAGAAAAACGATGTTGATTTTTTGGAGATGCGTTTGTATAGTGGGAGACAAAAAAAAAGATTTTGGTGATACGTTTGTAAAGTGATTCGTCTTTTTCGTTATAAAAGAAGAATGCGACGAAGAGCTCTCTCTCTCTCTCTCTCTCTCTCTCTCTCTCTCTCTCTCCTCTTTCAAATCTCAAATCTCTCTCTCTCTCTCTCTCTCTCTCTCTCTCTCTCTCTCTCTCTCTCTCTCTCTCTCTCTCTCTCTCTCTCTCTCTCTCTCTCTCCCTCCCTCCTCCCTCCCTCTCCCTCCCTCTCTCTCTCTCTCTCTCTCTCTCTCTCTCTCTCTCCCTCTCTCTCTCTCCCTCTCCCTCCCTCCCTCCCTCCCTCCCCCTCCCTCCTCTTATAGAATATCAAAGGATGCGAATTTAATGTCACTTTTTTCCCGGTGAAGTTGCGTTTGATAAAAAAAAAAATCTTGTAATATCGTTCAGGTGAAAGGTGTTTGTCCGCGTGGATGAATGCGCAGCCAGCGACAAATCAGGTGAGTGGCTCGGGTCTTATTCTCCTTCCCCTGAATATCTGCCAGACCGGATAGTTAAATACCACATTTATTTGCGGCCACAATTAGTAACGCCTGTCAAAGCCACTTGTCTATAACGTCATTGTTCTCGTCTCTCTTTTTTTTATATGCGATGAATCAGATTACGGAGAAGAGAGAAGAAGAGAGAAAGCGTCGGCGAGGAGGAGCAGGAATCGCTCGCAGTTTGTTGATGATGCTTCGATAATTGATTATTTTTCTTCTTCTTCTAGGCTGTAATAAACTATTTTCCGACGATTCTCCTTCTTCCTCCTTTTATTATTGTCATTGCCTCCGACATTAGAGCTCCGAACGACTCCGAAACCTTCGCTCCCGTTTCGTGATATCCTCCCGCCAGGCTATGATTAGCGTTTGTCTCGAGTTCGCCCCCCTGTTATTTTCACTTTTCCCTCCTTCTAATCCTCCTTCAGAGTTGAATGAAACACTACCCTTATCCCAGGTGAGAGGTCGGCCGGTATCGCTTTTGGTCGAGGGCGAAGGAAGCTATTAGAACCCACACACTGTCGGATCCAATTCTCTGCGGTGCAAAAAGGGGGGTGAGGATGTGCCTGATTGAAGCTTGTAGCGGAGGAGATATCCATGTTTTGCACTTCGCTGGATTAATATTTCTGCAGTCGGGTAGGAGCGAAGAGGGGGATGTTCCGTCGTGTCTTTTTTATTCTCGTCTATTGTTTTTTATTCTCTCTTTTCTGTTGCTTCTTCTTTTGTTTTTCTCTCTCTCTGGCGAGTTTCGAACTTTTTATTCTCGTCTTTCTTTTTTCTCTTTCTGTTGCTTCTTTTATTCTCTCATTTCTGTTGCTTCTGTTTTTATCTGGCGAGTTTTGAACTTTTTATTCGCGCGCCTTTCTTTTTTCCTCTCTCTCTTTTCCGTTGCTTCTTTTTTCTCTCTCTTTTCTGTTGCTTCTTTTGTTTTTATCTGGCGAGTTTTGAACTTTTTATTCGCGTCTTTCTTTTTTCTCCCTCTCTTCTGTTGCTTCTTCTTTTTTTCTCTCTCTCTCTGGCGAGTTTTGAAGACGCTGAACGGAAAGGAGGAGGAGGGAGAATGGGTGCGAGAGAGGAGCGACGAAGGAGACCTCGGCGACAAGGGCGTCCGTGCGTCCGCGCCTCGTCACGAGTGTCACGGACATTCCCCGGGTGTCCTGGCGTCGTGTCCGTCGTTGTAGCGAGAGTTCGGGAGTCCATTCATCGTGTCCCGGAGTGTCGTAAAGTCGTTTCCTTTTGTCCACGTTAAGTATAGCGAGGCGATTTACGATTCGCGCGCTACCTGGGCTCCCCAAAGTGGCGACGCCGTTATGTATCGCCGCCCACAGGGCCCAGGAGAGGGCGGCGGGCGGCGGAGATGAGCCCCGGGGTTCTTGGAGAGAGGGCTGAGGCTTGGATGGCGAGTGTAAGCCGATTGGGCGGCCCGGCAGCGCCACGCCCTTCAAATCCCCGGCGACCTCTCTCTCTCTTCTCTCTTTCTCTCTCATCTCTCCTCTCTTCTCTCATTCTCTCATCTCCTCTCTCTTCTCTCTCTCTCCTCTCTCCTCTCTCTCCTTCTCTCCTCTCTCCTCTCTCCTCTCTCCTCTCTCTCTCTCTCTCTCTCTCTCTCTCTCTCTCTCTCTCTCTCTCTCTCTCTCTCTCCTCTCTTCTCTCTTCTTCTCTTCTCTTCTCTTCTCTTCTCTCTCGCTCTCTCTCTCTGCTTACTCTTCTCTTCTCTCCTCTCTTCGCTCTTTTCTCTCCCTTATCTCTCTTCTATCTGTCGCACTCCTCTTCTCTTTCCTTCTCCTTCCCTCATTTCCCCCTCACTCCAATCTTCTCCCTATCCATCCTACTCTCCCTCCTATCTTCTTCTCCCTCCCACTTCTCTCCCTCTCCTCTCCCTCTTCATAGACGCCATCGACCTGCAGAAAGACACAATTCAGCATATTTTTTCGAACAATTTAACCCTTTACGTAAGACCACGAAGCATAACAAAAGATAACGAAAGAGGTATAGAAGAAAAAGATAACGAACTATAACGAAAGAAGTATAGAAGAAAAATAGATAACGAAAGAAAACGAAGGAAGTATAGATATCAAGAGATAATAGTGTTCCTCGTCCATTGAAGGCATTTAGACGAGACAAAACAGAAAGAAAGAAAACAGAATCGGAAGAAAAAGAAATAAATAAAGAAAACAGAATCAGAAGAAAAAAATAAAGAAGAAAACAGAATTAGAAAAAAATAAAAAAAAAGGAATCAGAAGAAAATAGATAAAGAAAGAAAACAATCACAAGAAAAATAAATAGATAAAGAAAACAGAATCAGAAGAAAAAATAAAGAAAGAAAGAAAACAGAATCAGAAAAAAAAAAAAAAGCAGAATCAGAAGAAAAATAAAAGAAACGAATCAGAAGAAAAATAAATATAAACAAACAGAATCAGAAGAAAAAGAGATAAAGAAAGAAAACAGAATCAGGAATAAAAGACGTTTGTGGTTATGACCATGTTAAGAGACCCGGGCTACCGTAAGAATAATGGGGATGGAATATGCCAAGGGGTAGCGGGGGCAGGGACTGTAAAGCGAGCAGGGAGTCCCTCGGCTTCTTCAGCATCAACGCAAGGCCCTGTCTGTCGAACGAAGAGGGTGGACATTAAATGCTGTTTTCTTGAATGAAGAGGGTAGAGGAAATTGAGAGATTTAAGAAGTGAAAGGGGAAGGGGAAGTGGAAGGAGGGAAAGGGGGAAGGAGGGAGGGAAAGGGGAAGTGGAGGAGGGGGGGAAGGGGAGGGAGGGAAGGAGGGAAAGGGGGAAGGGGAAGTGGAGGAAGGAGGAGGGAAAGGGGAAGTGGAGGGAGGGAAGGAGGGAAAGGGGAAGGGAGGGGAAGGGAAGTGGAGGAGGGAAGGAGGGAAGGGGAAGAGCGAAGAAGGGAATTTGGTCTGTAGTATTTGAACGATTATGGTGTAGTCAGCGATCGTCGTATTTTTTACTGGATATCTGAGATTTATAGTGACCTTATTTTTTATATCTGTTTTGAATGAAAGTTTAAAAGAAAATCAATAGTTCCCGCTCTCTTTTTGTATGTGCATTTCACACACACACGCATACAAACGCACACACACACACACACACACACTGTAGATTATTTATGTGCTTACATAATATAATACACATGATTTTACAGCGATCTAAATATTTTTTTCTCTTTCCAGGTATGTCGCCAGCGTTTCCCACCGCCACAGGATCCACATCAGGTATGGAGGATTCTCTTATCGCCCAGAACGTTGATCAGTATAATTTGTCGTAAGCTTTTAATGTGCGCTTGATTGGCCAGTCTGTGTGCTTTGCATGCCGCCGCCGCCACGCCCAAATAGAGCCAACAACCTGTTACCTGACGCTCGTTCGACTGTTTAACTGTCGGTCCGGGAGGTTATTTAGAGCGGGCTGCCCCCCCCTTCTCTTTCTCTCTTTCTCTTTCTCTTTCTCTTTCTCTTTCTCTTTCTCTCTCTCTCTCTCTCTCTCTCTCTCTCTCTCTCTCTCTCTCTCTCTCTCTCTCTCTCTCTCTCTCTCTCTCTCTCTCCTCTCCCTCTCTCCCTCTCCTCTCCCTCTCCCCTCTCCTCTCCCTCTCCCTCTCCCTCCCCCAGCCTTGCCTCCGGGGCCGTGTGAAGCCACAGGGGTTGAGGAGTGCTGGGGCTCGAGTCGCTTGTGTCCCCCGCGTGAAGTGTGCGTCGCCCAAGAGGTCCTCTGTGAGAACAATACCTCCTCCAACGCCGCCACTTGTCAGGACTTAACCGAGCCACGCCTCCCCTCCTCCCACTCCTTTCCTCCCTCTCCTCCTCCTCCTCCTCCTCCTCTCCTCCTCCTTCCTCTTCCCGTCCGCCTAAGTCCTCCCCCTCCCCCTCCCACCCCCGTGACACTTCCTGCCTGCGACCGCTTGTGTTAAAATATAAGCCCCTGTAAGAGTCTTTAAAAAAAAAAAAATCCTCGTTTCCTTTACTTATGTGAGATTTGGTAAACTACCTTCTACTTTTTTTTCTTTTTTTTTTAATTCCTTTGGATCTTTGATTCCAACCACTTGTTGACGTTGATGCGTTTTTGTTATTTTTTTCTCCCTCTCTCTCTCACCTCTTCAGCTGTACATGCTTTGTCAATTTATCTTTTGATATATATTTTTTGTGAGATTACTTATGCTCCGTGGCGTCTTATCGAAAGGTTCTATCGCGCCCGAAAATGCCCTTTTGTTGTCCAGCTGAGTGGATACAACCGGCCCATTGCTGCACATTGCACCTGGCTCCGTCGCTTATCAGGCTTTATTATGAGCAAGCAAGTAGTTCGTCTCTCGGGGCGGCGATGGAGTGGGCTCGGGACACATGCAAATCATATTAAGTGATATTCCGTGTCGGGCGTGCGGGCGTGGGGTCGTGTCTGGTGAGGCAGATGACTCTTGGGCGAGCAGGTAATTACAAGGTCATTGAGTTCCTTCCAGTCGGATAAAAGGTAGGTAAATGCGCTGGCCAGGCTGGGAGGCAGAGACAAAGACGCGGGTTCATGTCATGACTCCGTGTTGTTAATGGACTCTAGTGGTCGAGGCGGCCTGACCCCTACACTGAGGGGGGAAGGGGGGGAAGGGGGAGGGAGGGGGTGCACTCGGCCTTCGCACTAAAGTAGACTTCACTTTTGATGTGGCGGAAGGGAGGGTGGGGGAGAGGGGGGAGGGGAGAGGTATACTGTGCACTCTCCGAGCTCAGCAAGCGCGTGTGTCACTCCCGCTGCTGAAGATGTTAAATTCGCTTCGTCCCGCGGCGTGAGATTCAAACGGATCCCTCGGGGGAGTGGCGGAGGCTGAGGAACGCTTTGTGGCGAGATTCGAGGCCCGAGACGCCGCCGCTGTCGGTATGCGCGCCGCCGGGGACGCCTGAGAGTGCGGGAGGACGGCGGCGTCGCAGATAGGGCGGGCGGGGGCGAGGGCGGCGGTGGGGGCGGGAAGGGGGTTAATGGACGTCGAGGGAGGGCCCGGCAGAGAGAGTAATTATTTGCGGTTTATCTGCTCGAGTCGTGTGACGGCAGTTTTTGATGAAGCTGATGGGAATGTTCTGGTTGAATATAATACTTGGCGAGGGGGTTGGGGGCGGCCCGGGTAAGTGTTGATGCGCGGTCATGGCCGACGTCGGAGCGCCCTTGGGGACTGCGAGCGCCGTTTTGGGGAAGTGCCACGGGCGGCGGCGGCGGCGCGGCGGCGAATCACCCGCCATAAACTTGCACAAGAAACTCCGAAATCGCCTGCCTGTCTGCCGCTTCTGGGTCTGCCGCAGTCTGGCCAATATTTCCGCGAGTTGATAAGATCCTCCCTAAAGTTACAGTTGTGTTCAGGTTACAGTGCAGATATTGTGTCGTGCTTTATAAGGTTTGCTTTATGAGCGCACGCCGAGGCCCCGCCCCTCCGCGCTGTATAAGGCTAATGTATCCCCCGCGCAATTATCGCACCATTTCATGCCCCCGCGAACGTAATACACTTATCAAGAAATGGCCCGACCTCCCCCCTCCCCTCCCCTCCCCTCCCCCCTTCCCCTCGCAACCGGCCGGCCTGGGCATGAGCGAGTCCGGCAGTCACCCTGATTAGCTCAGAAGGCTGCCGGCGCTGAGATTGCCTTTATCGGAGCCCGGGATGCTGCGCCCGCTCTCAGAGGCTCCGCGGAGCTCCTTCGCTGCCTCCTGCGGTCGACGCTGCTCCTCCTGCTGCCTCCTGCGGTCGACGCTGCTCCTCCCGCTGTCGACCGTAGACGCTGCTCCTCCTGCTGCCTCCTGCGGTCGACGCTGCTCCTCCCGCTGTCGACCGTAGACGCTGCTCCTTCTGCTGCATGTCGCTCCTCCTGCTGCCTCCAACGGTCGACGCTGCTCCTCCTGCTCTCCTGTCGAAACTACTCCTCCTGCTGCCTCCAACGGTCGACGCTGCTCCTCCTGCTGCCTCCTGCGGTCGACGCTGCAGGGGCTCGAGGATCCGGCGGCCCTGTTGTATGTGGCGGAGGGAGCGAGCGAGAGCGAAAAATATACATATATATACTCTCGCGCACACACACACACACGCGTTTGTGTGTATGTATGGATGTATATGTTTAAATAGAGAGATACAGTGATCCATAAATAAAGAAGCGATACATACGGAAAGATATAGACATACATATTTGTATACAGACATACATACATATATATGTACCCGGACACATAGATGGATAGATTAATAGATATGTATGTATGTATGTATGTATTATATATGTTCACATAAGCATGTAGAGTGTGCGAACACTGGAATATTCAAAGACTGGATTAATTCAAATAATTTTCAGTAACTTTTAACATATCCACGGCTGAAATATTAAAAGTTGCTTTTGCAATTAACTTTATTATGATTACTCAGGAGTAACGCCAATCATGATCTTGAACTGATTAACATTTTTGCGTCCGTCGAATGCAACAATTCGGACACCGTCATCGTAGTGCAACCCCGGGGAGATGGGGGGGGGGGGGGCCCGGAAAAAAACAAAAACAAAAAAAAATATTTCGAATGTCTATCGTTTCGCCCCTCGCGCAGTCCGGATTTCCGAGGCGCAGGTCGTGTGCGCGGCGGCGGGGAGCGACCCCAGGGGAGGAGGCTGGAACGAAAATCCCCGAGGTCTGGGGTTTGCCACCGGCGTTTACACTCGCTTGCACCCGCCGGCCGCCCCTCCAGATTTAATCAGCATTTCGCACGGGCGTCTAATGAAGAACAGGACGATGCACTTAGGCTGGCCAGGCCGCGCGGGGGGTGGGGGGGATGGGCGGCACGGCGGAGGCGGCCGGCGGCGGCGGCGGCGGCGCGGTTCACGTCTCAAGGTTTAGGGTTAGGGGAGGGGGAGGGGGGAGGGGAGGAAAGGGGAGGAGGGAAGGGAAGGGCAAGGAGGGAAGGGAGAGGAAGGAAAGGATAGGGGGGAGGGGGAGGGGAAGGGAAAAGGGGAGGGGGAGGGGAGGGTAAGGAGAAGGGATAGGGAAGGGCGAGGAGGGAAGGAAAGGATAGAAGGGGGAAGAGGAAGGGAGAAGGAGGGAAAGGAAGAAGGGGAAGTAGAGGAAGGGAAAGGGTGAAGAGAGGGGGAGGGTGGCTAGCCGGGGGAGTGGGTCGTCTCGGGATTGTGGATGTGCGCTCAAGTGTGGCCACGGCAGGCAGGAGAGGAAGGGTGGAGGGTGGAGAGGGGGGGGGGGGGGGGGCAGAGGAAGGGTGGAGGGGGGGGGGGGGACAGAGCCAGGCATAGGGCGAGGCAAAGGGACCAAGGAATCTGCCGACGACGAGCCTACGCGAACGAAATAACCCGTGGGGATGCGGAACCCGGTAAGCTCTCGCCAATTCATGGATGATTATTTATGAATGATTAATTGGCCGCTGGTGAAGAAGCGCTAATTCGGAAGATCATGAGTTTCACGGGGAACATGAGGCCGTGGTTGGGAGGGAACATGAAGAGGAGAACAGGGAGGAGAAAATGTCTTTCGAACGAACGCGCACACACACACACACACACAACACACACACACACACACACACACACACACACACACACACACACACACACACACACACACCACCACACACACACACACAACACACACACACACACATACACACATACACACACAACAAATAAAAAAGTAAATAAATAGAATAGTAAATAAGAATAGATAGAATAGATAAATATATAGATAATAAAGGCTTTCAAACGACTACTTGTGTGCAGTTCCTCCGACACAAATTTTAAAACAGGAAAAATAAGGAAAAAAAACAACAACTTCAGGTCTAAGACTAAGGCATGGGATGGGCGTTGATTATGCAAAAGAAATGACGGTGCGCGAGGAAGTAAAAGAAGATGGAAACGGATATAAACTGATGGATTAACCAGCAGGAGGATTTTTAAGTAGGATGTCTCGTCCTCTCGATTCTTCCTTCGTTCCCCCTTGCTGCCCCCTTCCTTCTTTTTCCCTTTTTCTTTACCCCCAATCCCTCACTCCCTTTTCTGCTACCCTCCTTCCCTTCCTCCCTTTTCTGCTACCCTCAATTCCCTTCCCTTCCTTCCTTGCTACCCTCCTTCCTTCTTCCTCCCTTTTCTGGTACCCCTCAATTCCCTCCCCTCCTCTGCTACCCCCTCCCTCCCTTTTCTGGTACCCCCCAATTCCCTTCCCTCCTTCCTGGTACCGTCAATTCCCTCCCCTCCTTCTTTGCTACCCCCCCCTT